CCAGTAGCGGAGTCGATGTCTCATGAGTCGACCCTAGACATCGCGACGCACGACAGGCCTGGAGTCAGTCCTTGCTGCAAGTGGACAAGCGCTGTGCTTGCAAGCAACGGCAAAATGTACGGCATCGCATTCTCGGCTGCATCTGTGCTGGTGTTTGACACTGCCACGCTGGAGTTTGACATCCTCCCGCTCAGCCCACCCCCAATCTCCCAGGGGCTGTGGTGGGGCGGGGTGCTTGCAGGCAACGGCAAAATCGTGTGGCATTGCGAGTGTGTCACTCTGAGGGAGCATCTAAGAGCGTGCGATCACCACCAGCGATATACGTGGCATTCAACAAACAACCAAGACAGGGGCAGCAATAACAGCAGCGATGGGAGGGGGGACGTACGATGAGTCTGATGTGAACGTGATGCGAACGCTCTCGCCAATTCCGCCGATGAACGACTGCCCGCTGTATTGCAAACGGGGAGGACACGAACGAGTGGGCGCAAAGGCACAGGTGAGTACAAGCACAGACGCTCATGAACAAAGGGCAAAAGTGTCATGCGAAACCATGGCTGACGACTTGTGTCCACATAATGATAAAGTGCAAACACACACACACATTCTACAACCACACACACACACACAATGACAGCCAACCAAACACACACACACACACAATGACAGCCAACCAAACAGTCAATGCAACCAACAGAGCAACCCAAAACTAGACCTTGATGTGAGCTGCATGCTGCTGGTCTCCGTGATGACATTGACGCGGTCATACGACTCCAGGTCGAGGCTGTCCACGTAAATGTGCACAAACTCGTCGTTGTTGAGCGGGTACAGGACCACGGCGCAGTTGAGGTTGTCGTCGTAGTTGTTGCTGCCGTAGTTCCTGTGGCTGAAGATGACGCCAGCGGCCGCGCCCGTGATGCTTGACGTGGAGCAGACCGTGTACCGCTCATCGGAGATGGGGATGGGCAGGGTCGTGGTTGTGGTTGCCGGCTCTGACGTGCGCGCACCATCAAACTCGGACCAGTCGACGGTGGAGCCCGCGCTGGAGACGAGCTGGTAGTTGATGACAAACCCGCTCCGGGTGACGCTGCCGTCTGTGTCAAAGTTGATGGAGACGTAGTTGGAGGCGATGGTGGTGGCGAAGCCACTGATCATTGGACAGTAACAAGACAGGGAAGGGGTACAGTGTAGAAGGATGTTGCAGGGGTTGGAAGGGGTTGGAGGAGAAAGGGGTGGGGCAAACGGGCGAGTGAGCGGGACAGCGAGACATCTTGCTTGGTTGGTAAGCGAGGCAGCTTGCTTGGTTGGTTGAATCGGACACGTTGGGCAAACACCTCACACACATGCACAAATACACTTCACACACACACACAGGCACAAATACACTTCACACACAAACACATACTTCACACACACATGCACAAATACACTTCACACACAGAGCGCATAAATACACACAGAGCACACACACACACACACACACACACACACACACACACACACACACACAGACCACACAAGGCGACTCACGCGTAGAAGGAGGTGTACGTGGTGGAGCCGCCCTCGATGGTGATGGTGAGACGATCGCAGCACGACTCAACTTCATACGACTGCAGCGCACAGCGATGGTGGCGGCGGCGGCGGTGAGATGGTTGTGAGGGGCAGGGTACATGCGTAATAGGAAATGGAAGGAGGCGGGAAGGACAAGAGGCTCGCGTCGGAACAGACACACAGACACACAGACACACACACACACACACACACAGACACACACACACACACACACACACACACACACACACACACACACACACACACACACACACACACACACACACACACACACACGCACACACACCCAACCCTACCGATGTTTCGATGGCGATGGAGTATCCTGAAGGGGCGGAGATGTAGACGGTGCAGTCGATGTTGTTGTCGTAGGAGGAACCAAATTGGCTCACAATCTGGCCATACATGTTGGTGAGCGTGCCGCCGTCGCAGATGCTGTGCGTGGTGTACTCCACGTTTGCTGTGTATGTGCGCAAAAACCAAAACAAAAGAAGCTGCGTGTATGAGATGAACGTTGAGGACGGAGCATGGCAGAGTGGAACAATGCAAACAGCAAACCAGCGAGGTGTGGAGCAAGACCTGTGACACACACACACGCACGCACACGCACACAACAACAAGCAAACTCACACACAATGAAACTCACACACAAGCAAACAAACACACAAATGCAAACACAGCACGCTTACATGATGGCAGCTCGGAGGTGTGGACGAGGAAGTAGCGGAAGACAAACCCGGTGCTGGTTACGGAGCCATCGGTGCGAAAGCGCATGCTCTCGGCCGAGTCGACGACGATGTCAGTTGAATCGCTGACCTGGTCGGCGCCAACATACACGCGGTCGCAGCACGACTCGAGCGAATAGTGCACAAACTGCAACGTGGCGTGGGTGGGGCAGCAGTTGGGTTGTTTTGGTTGTTGTGTGTGTGTGTGTGTGTGTGTGTGTGTGTGTGTGTGTGTGTGTGTGTGGTGGGTGGGGTGGGTGGGATTGTTGGGATGTGTTAGTACTCTTTGTTTGTGTTGTGTCCTGCTGGCCGCGTACCCATCTAGGTTTGGGGTGTGTTTTTTTACCACACCCACTACAT